GTTTTGCATGATAGTTACATAATTTTTAAAAAGTCATTTTACCTACTGTACTTTAACTCTATTTCCATTTCTTCTTTTTCTTAGACAACCAGGAGAAGACTCCAAAATGTTGGTATGCGATGCCTGTGATAAGGGCTACCACACCTTCTGTCTTCAGCCAGCCATGGATTCTCTTCCCTCTGACCCATGGAAATGCAGAGTAAGTCTCGTTTGTCATTCAGCTCTGTACAAATAGATGACCTTACCGTAAATACTCATTGTGAAAGCAAGTTCATGTAGTTTTTTGAGACTGAATCTTCCTGTCACAAAATGTTTTTTATTTTATCAGGGCATTTGAGTGTTCACCTTTTTCATGTGCTTCTTTTTTTTAATCTCCATTAAATCTGTATCATATCAGAGGTGTCGTGTGTGCACGGAGTGTGGTGTCCGTGGACTGGTGCAGCCAGGTTCGGCCCAGTGGTTTGACAACTACTCTGTGTGTGAGGCCTGCCAGCGTCGCCGCAGCTCTACGTGTGGCGTGTGCAGCAAAGCTGCCAACCCATCTGTCACTCTGCAGTGCTGCAGCATGTGCCACAGGTTAGTTTTATGCACAAGCGCAATAGTGTTCATTGGAGGTAATATGATGTGTGGGCTTGTCGCTCACATGGTCACAAAATATTTTTTGATGGTGTCTTTATTGTCTTAGGTGGGTGCACAATGAGTGTGCTTTACCAGGAGAGCTTCCAGAAGCCAAGTGCATTTGCCTGCTTTGCAAGGATCAGCAGCCTGTCACTCAACCGTATACAGCAGAGATACAAACCAGAGGGGCATCTGAAAAGACTGAAGGACATGTGGATTTGGTGGAGATGACAATCCAAACAGATGCAGACATGGTGACTGAAGAGCACAAAGATTTATCAGAGGTGACACCAGTACAGAGAGGCACTTCAGAGATTGGTCAGGTTGAAACCACGACTGACAAAGAGACGCCCATGGACCTGGGTAAGTCTGAGTCAGACACAACACGAGAGCTTACAAGACATACCAGTGATGAGTTTTATTGAACTAGTAAAAGAATGTAACTTGTTTATGTCCAAGATGTTCCTCTGTGAGTTAACTACTTTTGGCTTTAGGGGTGGAGTCTGCAGTTGTTGAGACAACAGACATTGGGGAGAGGATCATAGAGGATGAGCCGAAGGTAGCAACAGAAGAATTCACCTCTGATGCACCCGCTGCTCCACCTCAGTCCACGGGTAAACACAGAACACACTGTAGTAATTATTTGTATGATGGTGTGCCGTAACTAATGATAGATTTATAAATGTTGACACTAATAAGCACGCATTCCTTAATCTCAAATGTAGAATGTGCAACAACAGAACACGGGGGCTCTTGTCTACCTGCTGATGAAGAGAGAGCAGAAGAGGCAGTCAGCCAGGTGACCCATGTCGCCCCTTCTTCGGACCCCACAGCAGAGACGCAGTCTGACAACCCTGAAGTAGAGCCAACACCGGTGTCACTGCAGGGCCCTGAAAATATGGAGGTGGAGAAAGAGGAGGAGAAGCAGGAGACCACTCCCTCAGCAGAACAAGAAGTATCAGCAGAGTTATTAAACAGTGGCTCTGATGGCATGCCAATCACAGAACCATTTAGTAAGGATCCACCAAAGTTACCAGCTTCTCCTGCCTCTGTGGACAAAGCAGAGTATTTGCCCATGGCTAATCAGCAGGATAGAAGTCCACGCCTGGACCACCGGTCTCCCTCTCCTCTTTCTTTATCAGTAGACACACAAGAGTCCCTCTCTGCTGTGGACATGGAAGGGAGGTTACTACCTCACTCTGAGGAGGAGGAGGAGGAGGACGACGAAGATGATGATGAGCCAATGAAAGAAGAAGAGCATATTGTGGACATAAAGCAGGAACAGCACGAGCAAGAGACTAAGCCTGAATTGCTGCTGGACGAGATGTCCAATATGAGCCACGGAGATGAGAGCAGCAGTGGCTTTATGGGCTCTCCAGGAGAACCCGATCCTCAGCTCTCTATAGAACTTGGCCTTGTACCTGCTGGCCGCTCACACACAGATAACCTGCTCACTGAGACCGATGACTCGCTTCCCTTCGAACCACTCAGAAGCGACAGAGAGAAGGCAAAACGCAGAGGATCCCCAGGCCGCTCACGGATCAAACAGGTGAGGTCACCATGTACAAGGTGGTTTGTGTTTATTGATCATTATGTTCAACCACCCGACATATTACTTTTAACTATTGTTTTTTCCTTTTAAGATCTCATTGTCACATTCTCAAAACATGACTTGACACAATGGTTTTTTCTTGGCTTGTAGGGGCGAAGCAATAGTTTTCCTGGGAAGCGTAGACCTCGAGGGGGTGGTGGAGGGAGAGGGCGTGGTGGGAGGTCACGCCTCAAAGCCATGGCCTCCTGCATTGATGCCTTTTTGGTGAGCTGTACTTCGCACACCATTCAGTTCTTTTTTTTTAATTCTTTCTCTTTTTATAATGCGGTCATAATCACTGTTTTAAATTATTTGTCTAACATGTTTGTAACTGTTCATCACCTTATCCCTGCCCACAGCTAAGCATGACCTCAGACACTGGAATAAGTAAGGAGGAAGATGATGAAGAAGATGACACCATGCAGAACACAGTGGTTCTTTTCTCAAACACTGATAAATTTGTCCTGCTCCAGGTACAGCTATTGTTGTAATGTGACATTTTTAGTTACCCCGTGGCACTTGCTGTGCCAAGAACAGCCGTTGTCACTTTGAAATGTAACACAAATAGACTCTTTGTTTCCCCTCTTTCATTTTTCATTCTCACTTTCTCTCCTCTGTTTTAGGATATGTGTGTTGTGTGTGGCAGTTTTGGAAAGGGTGCAGAGGGGCAGTTGTTGGCTTGTGCTCAGTGTGCCCAATGTTACCATCCTTACTGTGTGAACAGCAAGGTAACCACAAAGCTATCCCTTAATTTTTTTTTTTTATCAATGTATTATGTAAATCCAGATATATTTAAACCTGATATCTTCTGTAGATCACCAAGACGATGCTCCGTAAGGGCTGGCGCTGTTTGGAATGCATTGTGTGTGAGGTGTGTGGAAAGGCTTCGGACCCCTCCCGTCTGCTGCTGTGTGATGACTGTGATGTCAGCTATCACACCTACTGCTTGGACCCACCCCTGCACAATGTTCCCAAGGGTGGTTGGAAGTGCAAATGGTAAAAAAAAACATTTAAACTGTAGGAGCACAATGCTTCGTTCAGCCTTATAGCTTTGAATGGGGTCAGATGGAAATGAATACATGTATATTTGCATATTATGTAAAGCACTCATGCCACAGCCCTGCATTTGCAATTCAGAGGCCCATCTCTCTGCCTCTTGCTTCTGTAGCAATGAACAAATTGATACACTTCTCACATAGGCATCTGTATTTGTCTTTTTTCTTGCATATTAGCTGTGTAATTGTTACAGAGTGGTTTACTACTTCTGCGCAGGTGTGTGTGCTGTGTGCAGTGTGGTTCCAACTCACCGGGTTTCCACTGTGAGTGGCAGAACAACTACACCCACTGTGGCCCCTGTGCCAGCCTTGTCACTTGTCCAGTATGCAGAGAGAACTTCATGGAGGAGGAGCTGCTGCTGCAGTGTCAGTACTGTGATCGGTGGGTACTGCTCATTAGAACTACACATGCACACACCAGAAACTGAGGTATTCATGAGACTGCAGCTAATGAAGACAAGGGGGGGATGGATTATTTATGTATTTTTCATGTCATGAATTATTCCATAACATCTTTGATATGCATACGTTTCATAACAAATCACACCGCAAATCAATGTATTTCTGTGTGCCTGTGCAGATGGGTCCATGCTGTTTGTGAGAGTCTGTACACAGAGGATGAGGTGGAACAAGCTTCTGATGAAGGCTTTGCATGCACATCCTGCACCCCATATGTTCCAAAACCTGTGGGTAAGTCTCAGAACGACCCTGCTTTAAAATTGAATACACAAATCATGTTTTCAAAAATATATACAGGATATTTTTTTATAACATTATTTTCTTTTGCTTTCTCTACCTGCTTTTTGCCTTTGTTCACGGTAGTGGAGTCAGCCATTATGGCTTCAATAAAGATCAAAGAACCAGGTTAGTTGTTTTTGCTTATTCGTGTTTATTATCACAAGCAGATTCTGCCTGGTCACTTTTTATTTGTTGTATTGTAAGTCACTCATATTTGCAAATGTCCCTTTACAGAACCCCAGTTCTACCGGTTGGAGGGTGTGTGGCTGACAGAATCGGGTATGTCCCTGCTTCGCAGCATCTCCATGTCTCCCCTACACAAGAGACGGCAGCGCCGTTCCCGTCTCGGCACTCTGTGTTGTGAAGGAGGTCCTGATGGAATGGATCTGAGGGAGGTTGATGGAGACGCTGAGGATGGAAAAGGTTTGCATACACTCCACACCCATAATAATTTTCCAGGGTGTTTTGCTCCTTTTTATTGCAAGACTTACAAATTCAATGTTATTCTGTATATCTAGGCTGTGGGGAGCCCATGGAATGTGAAACCAAGATGGAGAACCCTGGAAGCCCCGAAAGAGAGGGTGCCGGTGCAGAGGGAACTGAAGGCATGGCTGACTGCGAGGGTCTCAAAGGAGGAGCAGAGGAGACAGATGATGGCAAAAAAAGAAAGCGGAAACCTTACAGGCCTGGTAATATACCCAGAATTTCACAAAACAACTTATAACATCCACATAGATGTCTAAGCATCCACTAAATATTTACAAATATTATGTTCTGTACTAGGAATTGGAGGCTTCATGGTGCGACAAAGGAAGTGTCACACACGGATGAAGAAAGAATTTTTTGCCCAGCTGGCTGGTGAGACTATGTTAGATGGACAGCCAATAGAAAGAACAATTGATGAAGGTTAGTGACAAGAGATAGTTGAATTTCATTTCAATTTTCATTCAATTGCAATCCTCCCCACTGCAATAAGACTTTCTAATAATAATTGATTCTTAATCAGCTGCTATAACATTA